AACGCGGCCCTCCAAAGCAGCAGCAYGGAAGAAGGAGCTGGAAGGGAAGCATCCAGCGCCATCCTCTTCCCCAAGACAGACTCGGCTCCATTACATCATTCCTGACATATTTTTATTGTCTGTTCTTAATGACTGCTAATGAAGTAACTCAGCAATTCTCCAAAGCAAGCTATTTCTGTGTCACGGTCTTCATCATTGAAAACTTGTCCTTATTATCTAACCTGAGGTTTTCTCACTCCAGGAAGCCCTCCTGGAGTCCTCCTTGTGCCATCCACCCTGACACTGAAGCCACGCTATTCCCCTTCTCTTTGCTATAGATTTTAACACACTGTAATACTTATTATGTGCCTGCCCATTTTTCTCTTTTTTAGACCGAACAACACTCTTTCTTTTCATCTTTTCTCCACAGCTACCCTCACGTGGACGCTGTCCAAGAACACACACAGCTCTAGCAGAGCAATGCCCAAGTTTGGGCACAACAACTCCAGCCATGGAGCAGAAGGGTTGCTTCACACAGCTGGCAGCCCCCCCACTTAAACAAACTACTGCCATGTTTGCCCTTTGGCAGCACCRTGGCACTGCTGACTATTCACTGCATGATTCCCATAATCCCAGATACTTTTCTAAAGGAACTGCCGGATAAGCAGTTGTTCACCAGCAACTGCTTCCAAAGCTGTTATTCCTGCTCCTGCAGAGCATCTTCAATTTGTGACTGCTAAATTAATCCTGCCTTTTTTCTCCCCTCAGATTATTCCTCCAGCTTGTCCAGTTGATTTTGACTGTCCCCACAGTCCCACCAGACCTGGTGGTACATTTAATCAGCACGCTCCATTTCATCATCCAGCCTCTTAGCAAAACCACAGATCAAAACTGAACTCAGGACTGACAATTGTCAAAGTTTCTTTACTTCAAAGCTCATACAGGCACAGGCCATGCCTTGAGATATTGGGTTGATGCATTGTAGTTCTTCATTAGTTACAAATTAATGCATGAATATGACAGTGTCCCATGCATTTTCAGGATTTTTTTTTTTTCTTTTCTCTAGACCAAGCAATGAATTTCTGTGGAATATGCCTTGCAGCGTGGGGTTTCTATGCAGAACTAGATTCCTCAGCTAACTGTGTGTGTGTGCTTTGGGGCAGTGGGACTGCAAGTACCTGTCGAAGGGCCTGTCTTGTGCTCATGCATCTCACCAGGGTCTGGCTCTGGGGCAGAGGTTGCTGGATAGGTTCTATGCCAAGGAAGCCACAGGGTTAAAGCCCAAGGATCCTCTATTCAAGCAGCTGCTCCCCATCAGGTGGCCAAGCACCAGGTCCTCCGTGCAGGACCATGGCCCTGAAACACTTCCTAAAGCTGAGAGAGACCACTGCAAAGCCCTGCCGCAGCCCCGGCAGAGGAGGAGCAGAGCACGACACCCGCACGCTCACGTCAGGGCTGCGGCAGCGCACAGTGCTGCTGGGTCTGGCCGCGCGGCGGGAGGAGGAGGTCACCCCTCCTTTGGCAGGATGGCTTAGCTGGCCCGTGCGTCCATCATTCCCAGGAGAACGCACACGGACTGGCACTGCAGCAACAGATGCAATACTCACACAGCGCTAACCTACAAGTAATTGTTAAAAATAACACTGATTGAGTACACCTCATATATCATCTGCTTCTGCCTGGTTTAGATGGGCACATTCTGCAAACTTCTTTTCATCCCTGGGGAGAGAGAGCGGGGGAGGGGGAGGGGGGAAAAAAAGAGAAGGGCTTTGCTTCAATAGTTCTCAACCTCTTACATCTCTGCATTCCACCCATAATGCAGAGCTTATCCTTGAGACCAGTATAGGATTTCCACAACTCCCAAGAATTTGCTTTAAAAGGGAGCTCCAATTCTTTAGGGCTCTGTGTATCCCTGGTGAGGTGTCAGCTCCTGCTCCCACGCAGGGCAGGATCCTCCCTGCGGGGAGATCCTAAAGGATCCCAGCGCCGGCAGCTRGAGGGGCCAAGGCTGTGAGTGTGACGGTCAGCAGAAAACTAACGTGTGCAAGAGGGAGTGCTTGTCCCTTGCCTTCGTAATGCTAAAAACAGATATTTGTGTATATTGTGTCATTTCATTTTTCATTTTTTCCAATCAAGTAAGTATCGGTACAGCATATACAACTGAAGTGTATTATACCCTCCCCAGAACTGGGTTGGGCGCCCAAACACATGTTCATCTAAGCTTATAATCTTTGCCTCCGCCGTCCAAGGAAAAATGCCTCCTTTTAATTATAAATTTCAAAGTTTACTTAAAAGTGAAAGTCTCCATGTTTTGATTAGGTAGTGAGGCTAGAAACTTATGCAAAATGAGAAGGATGGCCAAAACCTCAAGAGGAGGGCATGAGAAAGCAGACAAGGGGGAGCAGAAGTGGCCACAAACACAGAGCTGCCAGCTCTTATGCCATRGTATAGAGGTATCACATGAAGGGAAAGAAAACAGCAACCAACCAACCTGACACTTTTCTTTAATGCTCTCTCCTGCTCTTCATTTGTTGTCTCGCATAGGAGAAYGACCAGACCAAGGACCTCTTTACTAGCGTAAATCCTAGAGGGACTACCTGGAGACCTGTGAAAAATGTAGAAATCTCAGTCTCTTTGCCTGAARTCTAACTTTCTTTTGGCAACACGAGTCAGTACTCCCTAATGGCTCCCATTTACACAGGTTCCTCTTTTTTCCTTACTTATTATGTTTATGTATTTATTTTTATAGATCAATGGGGTAATGATGTTTGGAACACACTAAGCACGGTGTGTGTCCTGGGAAGCATGTAGCATCCCAGGTGGGCCTTCAGTGGGCGAGCAGGACCTTCTAGCCCTGAACCAACATGCTTTGGAACTCAAAAATCAACTCCTCTTCTACTGGAAGAAAAGTTTTTGACTCCTGGCATTTTAATTATGGTACTTCTAGTAAGAAAGCATTAAAAGCAGCAACCACCAGTTTTTATCTTCAGCCAGAAGAACAGATAATAGTATCCTTCTGGATCTGCCTTGTTAATATTCTACCCAGACCTATTAAACCCTCACCATTTCCTTCCTTTATTTCTAAGTCATGCAAGGGAGTTCTTTTCCTCTGCTGCTCCCTTTTCCCAAAACAGAACAACAGGAAAAAAATGTTCCAATAGTTTCAGACCAGCTGACACTAAGAAAATAAAAATGCAGTATAAGCAAACTTTTTTTCCAATAAAAATGTTCCAGAAACAAAGTAGACAGAATTTCATAATTATTTCCTCCCAAAGAGCAGATGAAAAGAACTAGGTTCCTGAGAACATGTCCATTTTTTTCTTACATATATACACATACATCTATATGCATATTTACATACATAAAATACTCTATATTTAGTGAAGGATTCAAACTGTTAAATAGTTAATAGTTCTATTCCTTACTTATTTTTATTCCTTTCAGTGCTCAGATGACTCCTGCGGTGGCCAGGAGGCCAGTGCAGGAGCCGGGTTCCCATCCCGGGAAGCCGATCGCCSCGCTCGGCGGCAGCCACGTGAGTCACTGCTGCCACCGCGACGTCCCCGTGCAGAGCAGGGGCTCCCAGGCCGCTGTGACGTCCCCGCACAGAGCACGGGATCCCAAGCTGCCACGTGCAGGAAGCTGCCTACGTGCTGCTGGCCTTGCTCCCTGCTTCCAGCCCTTACAGGCATGTCACTGTATGCTTAAAAATGCTATCTTGACATATAAGATTCCCGTTCAAGTTGTTACTTCAGCTGCCACAGGGCRCTTCTATTCCTGTGAATGTGTCCCAAAAAAAACACACCTTCTTAGTCCACATCTGGAAAATAAGAGGCTAGGACTGGTGTTCTAGATAACAGGTCAGTTCTCTGGGCTGATTTCCCAGGTCCAGAAAGTCTGAGGACTAGACTGGGACCAGGAACCATGTTCAGCTCTACTGAAAGGACATGCAAGACAACAGGCCAGTTGMTTGTTTTATTTTACCATGTGCTTCTTTTATTAGCAGTGTTAACATTACCTTGTTCCTGTTTATACTTAAAGCAAGGAAAAAATAAACCAAATAATTCTTTTTCCTCTCATTTTGTTTTTGTTAAGACTTCCCTGTTCCTGTCAAAGTGAGTTAAGATAAAGAGAAATGAGGTGTTTTTGTTCCAGATCAATGTGTCCTCACTTGAGGTCACTTGGGAACTGTTCCCACGGTCCAGATGTGGCACCCCCAACTCCTGATCCTTATCAGCTCTCCCAGAAGGCTCTTAGATTGGGTAACAGCTCATCTACTTAAAGCATAACAACAAAACACAGCTGACCAGAGACAGCAAACAGCACAATAGCAACCCACTGGTTGCAGCATTTTGATGAAGCAAAGTGATGAAGTGTGACTTGAGAGAAAAGTTTCTAATTGTTCGCAACACAGCAATCACGCTGTGACGAGAGAGACAGAATTGCAGCTCAAAGGAACCTGAAAGGGCTTTTCAGATTTCCTGAGCTCAGCCACATGTGACTTGCAGTGGAATCATCACATAAATTCAATATAAACCTCGGAAAGAACTCATAGTAAGTCAAGGTTTGGTGTTGGCAGTGTTGCGATGTGCAGGCAGCAATTTAAAGAATTTAAAGAAGAGAACATTTCCCCTCCRCTTCGCTACCAAGGACTTGCCCTGCAACTTCTGCAACTCCACAGCAAGTCTCAGATGATCCCTTCCCAGTAAGAGCAGCATTACTTGACAACTAGCACGTACGTTAGTGCTGCAATAAATGCAAATCTGTTCCTATAATATTCCGGCAGGGTAGTTCACAGTCCTGAATTCTTAGTGGCTCACAGAGAGTTTCTACTGCATTACTGAGAAATGCACTTTAGAAAGTGCGTTTTGCTAAAGACTTCAGTGAATAAGAGAGGCATCTCTCTGGCTACAGGAGCAGAGAGAAGAGCTTCTAACCAGGTTCAGCCCCAGAGACCTCCAGTCCTTTCCACAAGGACTGGGTTTAAACTGGCGAGATCAGTGATGAAGCAGCAAACTTACTTTCCAGTGATAAATTGGCTTCGGGATGGCGTGCACATAGGCTGAACRTAGTAGTTCTCCAGTTTGACCCCTTCGGCAGCTAGCTTGTCCAGGGTGGGCGTCCTGATCTCCGATCCGTGGTACCCCACGTCTCTGAAGCCCTGATCGTCGGCCAGGATGAAGACGATGTGGGGCTGCGAGGCGGGCGCGCCGGCCCGCGGCTGCTCGCGGGGCGCGCTCCCCGCCGCCTCCGCCTGCGCCTCGG